AGTCGCCGAGAACGCTGTCGCCGCGCTTGCCGTGAACTAGAGCAGGCCCGCGCACGTGGCCAACCACCTTGCCGAGACTCACGACTTCGTCCAGTCCGTCCTTCACGTCTCTGGTGAGGCCCTCCTACTCCTAGGGTAGGTGGTCGAATCGGTTAAGGCCTAGGCTCACCGGAGCACGTGGCCGTCACCGGCGAACGCAGTTTAGGTGTCGTTCCCGTGGCCAACGTTTGGGTGGAGTAGCAATTCAAATAGGGCTTCTATCTTGTTGCCCATAGTCTATAGATGGATAAAAGGGTAGCGGTAGAGGCATTGGGATAGGTGATTTCATTGGCGCCGGTGTTGCCGTGGCCAGACCCTGCCATGGCGCATGGCCACGTCTTCGTGCTGCACCATTTTTTGTGTTTGATACCTCGATCGGTTGCGCTTTGCACGTAGATTGTTATGGTGGTGATGGTTGATGCCGAGGAGGTCCGTGCTCGCCGGTGTTTGGCCGGAGATGCCGCGACTTTTATTATTTCCGGCCAGGGACCTTGAAAAATAGGAATTAGATTAAGGGCAGGGTGCTAGATGCAAATCCATGATTCAGTTAGAATAGTATTGAGTTAGCTTCGCAAATAGGAAAGAGAATGGGGGCTCTTTAGCAAAAGAGCCAGCTCGCGCGCGGGCTCCGTCGTGGGCCGCATAGCGTGGGCCACGTCCGCGCGCGTGGGCCACATCGGTGGCTCGCATTTGCGCACGCTGCGTGAGCGTGGGCCGAGCTGCGATGGGCCGCGCCGGGCTGTTTTGCCTTTTCTTTTCTAATGAATTTGTTCATGCTTTTCTAAATTAAGTTGTGAACTGATCTTTGATAATTAGTATAAAATTTTGTAAGTGTCTAGAAATCATGAAGTAAATTTTGTTAGTCTCCTAAATTCATGCTCTAGCTTGTAGTGTATTTAGCTCGTACAGTTCTGTGGTATCCTTAGGGTTACTTTATTTGTTGTAATATGCTTGTCGTTATTATGATTATTTAGAGAGAGAATTTTTGAGATGAAATGGTAGAAGTGCTAGCTCTAAAAATTCTACAGAAGACTCATAACATTATTAGGCACTCACGTTAATTTTTGTAGCCCTAGACTAGGTTGATAAATAGAGTAGCTAGTACTCCTTGTTTTATCATATATAGAGTAAATCGATATTAAGAATAAGAATGCCTTTAGTTGCTAAGTTAATGTATAAAATGTCTCATACCTGTTTAGTGGAAATGATAAGTAGCGTCTTAGTCGGTAGAGCTAGTTTAGTATATTGACAGATGTATTTTTATTTTAAGAGTTGCTGTTGCTGTATTACTAAGTGTTGTATCATCATTTCATGCATGTAGATAATGAATTAGCAGAGTTCGTTCCTGCGGACGAACATGAGTTTGAGAAGATCATTGAGTAGTACGAGGAGGAGATTCTCGTAATGGAGGGAGCCCCGAAGCCGTTCGTTGCTGACTTTGTTGACACACCGCCTGCCCAAGGTAAGCCCCGGAGCATAACCTTTATTTTTGAATGATCATTGAATATATATATGATGTGCATTTACGTTATAGGCATTTCATGGAAACTACATGCATAAATATACTTACCTATGAGTCCTACTAGTATAGGTCGAGTAGCTGCTATGCTCAGAATTCGGTAGCGTGAGTAACCTGTCGTTACAATAGGTGATTATTATCACTCATGATAAAATGGTGCAAAGGAAAATAGAGATCGGGCAGGGATATTGTTTGGGTATTGTTGGATGTAAGAGGTTGTGTCCTGCGGCCAATAGGGTATAGCTTGGTTACACTTTTTTCTGTCTGTGTCGGTTAAGGACCGGCCGTTGCATTTGGTTCTAGGCAAATCACAGACTTATTATCCTGAGCACATACTTGGGTATGAGCGTAGAGAAGACTTGTTGTTCTCTTATCGTGGGTTCCGCTCTTTCCGGATTGACTGATTGAAGGCGAGGATGATGGAGGTCTAAGCACCGCACTAAGTCCAGGACTTAGGAGCGAAGGCTTGGAGTCCAAGTTTGGACGGGGGACCTAGACCCCATGATAGGAGAGTGATGGGTTGGTCCTACTTGTGCCTGAGATACAAGCGGGACGTGTGTTTTGGGGTACACAACTGGGCACATTGATTCGTGAATCGCGAGCAATCCAGTATGACTTGTCTACAGTCTAGCAACGTAGTAAGAACTGAAAGATGGAAGGTGATAAAATGAAACTGTTTGTTCAACTCTTGCTTGGAAGTAGAACAGGTGCTTATATAAAATGGCTAGATGATAAAATAATTATGGCTGCTCATAATAACATAAATAAGGATTCATTATTAGTATTGCTTTCTGTAAAAAGGGAAACTAGCAAACCATAAAGTTTATCATATCTATTGGAGTCGGAAAATTATTCTCACTAGTCGGATAAGTCTTGCGAGTACATTGTGTACTCAGGGTTTATTTACCCCTATTGCAGGTGCAGTTTGAGGAGTAGCCGTTGTGTGAAGGATTCTTCTAGTGGGCACAGACGGATCCTTATTTATTATCGATAGATGTTTATTTGAGTTTTATTTTCATTCCGCTGTTTAATATTCTGCATTCTGAATTTGGTACTGTAATATATTTTTAAGAATTCTGGATATATGAAATGGACTAAGTATTGTAACTCGTTCTCATTATTGGATCCTTGGAGAAAAATGTGGATCATTTGGGCTCTCCCTTGGGGTGTGCTCGACGGAACCCACCCGATGTAGCTCGCTCTCGGGGCGCTTAGTGTCAGTGGAAGGCAAGCGCCTCCGTAAGTGCGTTATTTTAGGCGGTTCTACAAAAAAAAACAACTGAAAAACACTTGAAACCATTGTAAACATCCACAACATCCAGATAAAACATTTGCATCATATGTGTGAAAAAATATGCAACATCCAGATAAACACACTTGCAATATGCGTCGAAAAAACAGATGAAACATTGAGAATAGGAGCTTCCAACATATGTGTACAACCATTGCAATAGGTACAACATCCCAATATACTTGTGCAACATCCGTTTGAAACACTTGCAACATACCTCTGAAACATTGGAAACACTTGAAAACAGATGCTTGCAACATGCAGTTTCAGCGCAAACATCTCCTTGCTGCTTCGAAAAATGGAAGCTCGTCGGTATGTGGAGTTCGCCAGAGGCAGCGGCTCGGTGGTGGCTGCGCAACAGGGTAGGGAGGTAGCCGCCTCGCGCCATGCCTGGCAGGGACAGTAGCCGAGCGCCACGACTCGCAGGCGGCTACGCGCCTGGCAGGGCCAGGCAACCGCGCCGCCGCGACTCGCATGCAACCGCGCGCCAAAACCAGGAGAGGGCAGCCGCGTGCCACATCTGGAAGGGTTGGCAATCAAGCGTCGCATATAGGAGCGGAGCCGAGCGTCCGCTTGCGGGAGCGGAGCCAGATGTGTGGGAGTTGATTTTGTTTTTTTAGGCGAGCGACGCATGCGATAGGGTGTGGAGTGAGATGTTCGGCCTTTCAGACGTGTTAATGGTAGCATTACCGTTCGAAAATTGCATATTTGCGTTGTTGAGCTTGGTCACCTTCGGTCTTGGTGCGGTGCGTAGTCTGTCCGATGGTTTTTTTTCTCCAACGGTTTTTTAAAATGGTTTCGGCTCGCATGGCGCTACGTCACCTGCCACGCTGGTGGTGGGTCACACGTGTTCGTCTCATCACACACACACACTCTCTCCTTTCTTCCCTTAGCGCCCGGTGCATGCTGGCAGCTAGCCGAATGCCAAAACTAAAACTAAAATCAACGGCGGCGCCGTCATTGTTGCCATCGATCCCGTTGGGCCATGGCGGACGCGGGTTCAAGTTGTGACCTGTGGGAGGAGGTCCTTAACAGACCTTACCCATCCATTGTCGTGGAGCTCCCCTTCACCGACCACGTAACCGACCTAGGCGCAAAGTGCGTCGATGCCCTCGACTCACTGTCCTCCTTCATGGTTTTCGTCCAGTCCATCTTGTTGCTATGATTGTTGCTCGATGAGGCGCTCACCTCTAGCGTCATCATGGGCGATGCACTCCTATACTAGGCACACACAGAGGAGGACGCATGGGCGGTTACAACGGCACACGTACCCACTGCCTTATACCCCCATAAACCCAACCAGCTCAAGCCCCCTTCTCCTTGCGTTTGCCTCTATAACCTCGAGCACTCCTATCTAATCTCTGGGCTGTGGCGGCGTGCCAGCGGGCACACGCTTCACCGTGCGGGCTGACTATGGTGTGTGCCAAGATCTGGAACATCTTCTTGCCGGGGTTGGGCTCCAGTGCTCCACCATGACTGTGACTGTGACATTGAATTTAATATTCCTATATAAATATTAAGTTTATTTTTTCAACATTTTTATATATATTATATTGAATACTTTATTTTTATTTATTTTTGTTTTTGTATATTCTTTGTATAAACTTTAATTTATTAGTCGCTTGAGAAATGTTTTTATATATAATTGAAATAATTATTTGTTTATATATTTTCATACCAATATAATTATTGATCAAAATATTTTTTAATAAATACCCTGTTTTTTTATGAGTCATATCTGTCTTCATGTGTTATATATACTTGTACTTTAATCTCTACCTGCATAGTACTTTTAATACTATTGATAAAAAGATAGATACTTGATCATAAATTAAATCGAGTAAATAACTTAACATGAATTTGAATCTGAACTATCCGTTTAAATGGGGAAATTTTCTCGTGTGGTCGAAAGTAAAACTCCCGTCTGCTTCCTCGTACCGTACAGGCGGATCATGACCAAGTGTCCGAGATAAGCCCCGGATAAGCCCCCGATGGCCGATGTCGCCTCCTCTTACGTCGTTCTCCTCAGGATCATCGTGTCGGCGTTGCTCCTGGAGAGCGGCAAATTAAAAATGAGCAACTTTTCTCGAACGCCAACCTTAGCATCTACGCACGGACGGAGTGGCGGTGATAAGCCCGGATAAGCCCCCAATGTCCCCTCTCCTGCTGCTCCTCCCACTGCTCCTCGCCACGGCCACGGCCACTGCCAAGACCACCGCAGTGGCGTCCGTGACCGCGGCAGCAGCAGCAGCGCCCACCAGAGACGACAGGGGCGGCGGGCCTCCTGCTCCGCCGTCCCCGGTGCCGCCCGCGACGCCGCCGTGGCCGGAGCAGTTCCACGCGGTGGTGATCACGAATCTGAGTGCGCGCGGCGGCGGGCTGCAGCTGATCGACCTCTACTACGACTGGCCGCGCGGGCGGGACCTGAACATCGTCCGCGACCAGCTCTCCCGCGAGCCGCAGTGGAACGTGGAGTGGGCCAACGGCACCGCCTTCCTGTTCGACGCCGCGTCCTGCGCCACCTTCCAGTTCGCCGTCGGCCTCCTGCCGCCCGACTGGAAAGCCCGCGGCGCCGCCTACCTGGGCCGCGACCGCGTCGACGGCTTCGACTGCCACGTCTGGTCCAACTTCGTCTTCGCCCGCTACTACGAGGACGTCGCCACCGGACGCCCCGTCAGCTGGAACTTCAATGGTACATGCGAATTCCAGTATCTTCGTTCAGTTTCTTGATTTAATTTGGAGATTGACATACATATGATGCAGGTGCAGAGCAGTGATGATTTCTGCTTTGTTGCTTTTCCAGGGATGCAGCGGCATGTGCTGAGCTTCGAGGCGGGGGCAGTGCTGCAGGACTCCTCCAAGTGGCAGGCACCGGCTTACTGCTTCACCAACACCAATGGCGGCAGCAGGGCCAACGCCGCTGCTTCGTCTTCCTGAGATCACGTCGCCGGGCGTCCGGAGTCTGGGCTCCACCTGCAGCTGGATGCTGCATAGAGCAAATCATTTGACACTGTGAGCTCTCTTGAAGAGTTGGAGTCCATCTTGATGGTTGACTGAGGAGAGGCTTTCTGCAGTGACACGTCACATGTGTCTCAAGGGGGATGACGTGTGTACTATTAGTGGTCAGCAGCTCAACAAAAGAATTAAACACGCAACCGTTACAGAGCAGCCTCAAATCACACAGAAACAAACAAACAAAACCTCTTCTCGTTTCGATCTCTCGGTTTGGCTTTTCACTGTTCAGCACTTGTTTATATTTGTAGCCTCGCCTTCTCTCCCTAACCCACCGCAACAAACCAAACCCAGCTCACCCAAAAGAATTAAACACGCAATCCTTATGGAGCGGCCTTAAATCACACAAAACAAACAACAAAAAACCCTCCTCGTTTCGATCTCTCGGTTTGAATTTGGTTGTTTTGCAGTTGTTTATATTTGCTGCCTCGCCTTCTCCCCCTTCCCCACAACAAACCAAACCCAGCCCACCCAAAAGAATTAAACACGCAACCCTTACGGAGCGGCCTCAAATCACACGAAACAAACAAATAAAAACCCTCCTTGTTTTGATCTCTCGGTTTGGCTTTGGCTGTTTGGCACTTGTTTATATTTGTCGTCTCACCTTCTCCTCCTTCCCCACCGCAACAAACCAAACCCAGCCGCAACCGTAGTAGCAGTAGCGCAGAGGAAGAGCCGTCCATCTCCCTCCATGCCGCTGCCGCCCCAAAACCCTACCCCTCGCCCTCCCTCTAGTCCCCCCATCCCGGCGCGACCGATTCTCCTCTATCCAGCGCTGATCCGGCGGCTTCCTGGCCCGGCCATGGATTTGCTGGCGTCCTTAGCTGCCGAGAAGCGGTGGATGTTCCCGGCGTTCCTCGCCATGTACGCTACCATCCGGGCAGCTCGTTGTGTTCCGACGGTGGGCGCCGCGGCAGCGCCTGGACGGTGCCAGCTGCCTCATCTCGCTCTTCCACGCACCCCCGCCACGCTGGCCGTTGGAGGGGCCATCCTCGCTCTGCGTGCCGGAGCCCGCTCCTTCGCCGCGCCCAATGCGCGCCTCTAGGACCACGTCCTTGACTACAGCATCGCCTACTTCACCATGGACCTGCTCCACTACCTCGTCTTCCTGCCCGGGGACGTCCTCATCATCGCGCACCACCTCGCCACGCTCTTCGTCTTACTCACCTGCCGCTACCTCGTCCGCCACGGCGCCTACGCGCTCCTCGTCCTCCTCCTCCTCGACGAGGTCACCAGCCTGCTGCACAACGTCTGGATTCTCGTCGGGATCTGGCGGGACCAGTCCCCCACCGCTGCGCACGTCTACGACGCCCTCTCGCCGCCCTTCTATGTGCTCTACACACTCGTCAGGGGCGTCGCCGGCCCGCTCTTCCTCCTCAAGATGACCGCCTTCTACCTGTCTGGCCAGGCTGTCGACGTCATCCCGTGGTGGGTGCGGATCTCCTGGATCCTCATTGTCAGCACTGGCATCTAATAAGAATTAAAAAAGCCAAAACGTCTTATCATTATCACACTATAAAATAGCTGAGTTTTTTTAGGGGTTCTCTCTATAAAAACCGTTTGATCTAGACGTCATGTTATATGAGCCCTCCGTCATCTGTGATCTTACATATAAAGATGTAAGACTCCTCAATCAAGATTCCTTCTAGACATCGAAAAAGGAAAACACGTGAGATGTAAGGCTCCAACGCCCATACGAGCCAAACTATCATGTCCGAGGGCTTTGATGCTCATATGAGCCAAAAAGGACTCTGATGCCTATAGATTCGCTTTGTCCTCTGTGCTTTAGAACGATATTGGACTCCGAATCCGAACTCTTGGAAGGTGAACCTGTGGGAGGATCCGATGAGCCCTATGAGTTGGAAGGACTCTCACGTCAGTACCCCTCATATTATCGTATTTAATTCATTGCGGCTATATAAACTAATGACATGAATACATGTACCTCGTGCAAGTTATTTCAATGGTTGTTTCGTTTGAATGGTAGATCATGCCCTTTTGTATGATATAAGTTTTCTTGCATACCCATGGTCTGGATTATAACAACATAGGAGTATACATCATTCTGAACAGTGTTCCTTGAGCTCGTTCCCTACAGAGTCACCCATCCAACTGATGAATTCATTTCGGTGCTGTAGAGGATCAATGCACTCGATGTCAAAAATATTAATGCGTAACTTTGGACTCGATAGTTGCTCAGTAGAGTATATGCGTGGCCCTGTCATTGAGTTTGAACCCATCTATAAAGATATTCTATTTCTATATTTAAAGAAATATCTATGATACATATGAACTGATATATCGAGAATTCAATTAATATTCCCATGGCATTTGAAATATTTTTCGTAAACACGTGTGTGTCGCACTACACGCATGGAATATTTTTGGTAAACATGTGCATATAATGTATGACCAAAAAAAAGGTGAAAACAAAAATCTAAACATGTTTGTAAGAAATATTGAAAAAAAAGATAATGTACATGTGCTTTATCCTTTATGTGGCCAACAAGGGAAAAAACATAGAGTTACGTTGTTTATGGGGCAAAAAGAAAAAATATATATAAAGTTATGTTTAGATAGACCTGCTAAATAAATTAATGCTATATTATTTGTCATAATTATTTCGCATCTACAGATGCTTGTTTATTTATATCACGTTATTTTATATCTGTTCATTTAGGCAAAATCTTATTACATCGTTAATAAAGTCATAATCCCTCACATTGTTTGCATGTGCCTATAGTAAATGTTGGATATAGCCAACTATGAAAAGGATAACTGCTGAAAACATATAAGTAGTAACCTCACTCCAAGATAAGTGCTTTCTTCTCCGACCTCCCTAGAGCCTCCGGTAGCACAATTGAGACTAGGACGGGTTCTCCACCCATACGAGGACGGATCGACAGAAGTATGAAAATAGGATAAGATAGGGACAACACGAGCCATTTAAAAAGGTGTCAAGTCAAAGTGCAGTGATATATGCAGCTGAGGCATCCTAACAAACACACGATTTGAACCTTGTTCTACACGACCCGATCAAATCGATCAAAGCACTTGCCATCTACCATTATTGTACATCGACAATTCAATTAACATTTCTTTTTTTTATCGGGGAATATAACCCATTTTTCATTAAGGAGAGAGAATTACACGACACAGCTACGAGAGAACCCTCGTAGCACAGATTACAAACCACCAAGCTAGTGGTGAGTGACCTAGAATAGAAACTAGGAACAAGAAAAAGGATACAAAAGAGGACTACTGCCCACGACACCTAAACCTACGAGCTGAGCCTGTAAGAAAAAAGGATACAACATCGCGCAACGGCGGCCAAGCATCCGCCAACGAACCAACCAGCAACCAAGCATCCGCCAAGGAAGAGGCGAAGACACCCACTACAACAAAGCATCCGTAGCGGGGGAAGGGCCAGGTCACTCTCGGCGGCAAAGCATCTGCCAGAGAGGAGGCCTACGACAACGGCGGCAAAGCATCCACCAACAAACCAAACGGCGGCAAAGCATCCGCCAATGAACCAACCAGCGGCCAAGCATCCACCGGGGGATAAGCAATAGCGGCAAAGCATCCGCTACGTTATCCATGACAACAAACCGGGCACGGTCAATAGATGCAGGACAGACCAATGCGAGTGGAAATGAAGCACAACAGGCATAGTGAGGGACTCCTCAAGGAATCGACGACAGGAACTAGGCCGATTCTTTAGCGACGCCTTCAGGAAGGGGAGGACGCCCATGGTAGTATCATGGATGCCGTCGACGCTAGCCTTAGAGGCCTCTAAGGTAGGGATTTCTCCCAGAATTCGACGAGGGTGACATAGGAGCATGGGGCTCGGAGAACGACACCTCCAGGGGAGTATGTGGCGCCAAAGGCGTCACCGTCGTCCACCCGGCCACCACTGGACTGAGCTTTCGCCAAAGCACCATGCATCCAGAGGTACCGCCCCCACGAGGGGGAGAAGCGTCACGCCACCAACCGCAAAGTAGTAGATCCGGGGCGGAGTAGGGCAGATCCAGACACGGGAGGACCGAATCCGCCTGAAAGATCCTTGTTTGGTTTTGGTAATTGAGTGACAACCTAGGTGGACTAATATGTGTTTATGTGAGATACACAGAGAATTAGTCCACAGGTACAAATGTGATGAAGGAGCTCATTGCTTATGAGATATGACATTGAGTCATTTGACTAAGGTGGAGAAGATCAAGATAAGACTTGGCTTGATGGACCGGTTGCAAGTGTGAAGGGCAAGTTGAGTGATGACTTGGCGCTGATGGATCGAAGCAACGGTGAAGAGCAAGTGAAGTCAAGATCGATGAACCAATATGGTCACATGATGATATGAAGTGAATCATATCATTTGTAATTGGTTGGTGCGTGTGTTGCATCAACACTAGAGGAGATGGAATGGAATGCGCAAGGCAAAGGTATAACCTATATGGTATTTCATTTCACCGGTCTAAGTTGAGTAGAGAAGTGCTTGACCGGATTTAGGATAGATAGCCGTACTATAAAGAGGAAAAATCTTTTAGTTACAACGGTTATCTAGTGACATTAAGTGCGAGTCTCATTTGCATATATCTTTGCGCTTGGTGATGTGGTGAGATGCATGAGAAAGCCCTGGAAAATTCTTTGAGAAAAGCTGCTAATTTTGTTTGGCATATTTGGGATGAGATAGCACTTGAGAAAGGGTGGAAAAAGGTAAAGAAAGAGCTACTGTTTGGTGGTCTGCTTGGCTCTGTGGGCTCTGGCCTGTATGAGGGAGCAGGCTCTGGTCTCTACTGACCATGCCTGGGCCGGCGGTCTCGGCCTGCGTGGGCGACAGCTTGGGCCTGGCCCGTCGACCAGATCAGGAAGGAGCAAGCGCTGCTGCTCTGCTGCTTGGGCCGGCCCATCGACCATGTGGAAAAGGCGCAGAGGTGTAGTTTGGCGCCTGGGCCTGGATGCTCGGCTGCTGGGCGGTACGGGCGCTAGCTGTGGCCGCGTGGACCGTCTTGGTGGCGTGCGTGTGCAAGCCCAGCAGAGGAGAAGAACGAGATGCAGCTCGTCCTGTTGGCCACGGAGTGGAGGAGCCACATGAAGCAGGGCGCCGGTCGTCCGTGCCTCGATGACCTGAAGGAGGGCAGGGGCGACGTGTCTGCCGCTAGTGGGGCCGGCTGTCGACGCGGGTGCGTTAGGGCCTCAGGGGCGAGTGCCTGTCTGCCATTTCCATCCGTGGGAAGGAGGCTTGGGGCCCGTTGCGTCAGGTGGGAGCGTGAGGGAGCCGTTGCTCACTTGCTCGTTGGTGCTCGGCTACTACAGTGAACCGTTGAAGGAGAGCTAGCCGTTGGGCCTTGGTCTGGGCCAGGCCGTGCGTTGGGGGCCAGGCTGGGCACGCCGGGCTGGCCAGAGCAAGCCTAGGCGGCTGGGGATAAGGCAGTGCCTTTCCCTTCCTTCTTCCCCTAACAGCTCATTCCCCATTGTTACATCCATGAGCTAGGGTTCCTCCTCCTCTCCTCTCTCTCCCATGATTTGAGCTGAAATTTCTAGGAGAGATTGAGAGCTCTTTGTGCGTGTGCATGAGAGGTTGAAGATCCACCTCCTCCCCTTCTCTTCCTCTCAAGCTTGGTGCTACTTCGAGTGAGGGATTGAGAGCCTAGTGTGTGTATTCGGGATTTGTATTTGGTGGCACTAGGAAATCTTTGTGATTGAGGATTTCTTGTTACTCTTGGTGATTGCCATCACCTAGACGGCTTGGAGGTTGTGGTCTCCGGTGAAGCCCGCGTGGTGATTGTGCTCACCCCGTGGGAGCCGCGAAGAGCAACTCTAGTAGAGCGAGACACGAAGAGTGACAAGTGGTCTAGCCGTGTTAAATGCTAGAGCTTATGGTAAGCACTCCACGTGGGAGTGTGACTTACGGGTCACCACTAGCAAGAGGACCGCGCGGCAACCTTAGAGCTTGTCTCAGCGGGGACTAGCTTGGTGGCAACCAAGTGAACATCAGGATAAAAATCATCGTGTCAACCTTGTTCATCCCGTTGGTTTGCATTTCCCCAACACAAGCTTGTATTTACATTTCATATATTGTGCTTGTGTAGTTGCTCTTATAATTAGTTAGCTTGTGAAGCCTGCTGGTTACCTTCTTTCTTGTGCAGCATAAAAGTAGCTCCCTTGTGTAACTAATTTGGTTTTAGTAACCTTATTAGTTGCTTTGCTTAGTTTGTGTAGCTAAGTAATTTGCGCTCTCTAATTTGGCATTAGTTGCCTTGTTATTGAGCATTGCTGGTGAGCTTAGGTGGCTTTGTGCTTTTGCTTACTAGATTGTGTAGGTGTTCCTTGGTTTGCTTGAAGTACTAGTTGCATAGGTTTATGCGACCTTGCAAGCTAGAATTGAATAGGTGAGCACTAGCTAGCCCGGCACCTTTGTTGCCCGTCGAAGGTCCGGCGAGGGAGTGGGCAGATCCGGCCCCGAGGGCCCCGGAT